CAGGGCCAGTTTAGTTGGAGTCAGGAGAGCAGGCAGGATTCCCTAGGATTCAAGTCTTGATTCCATTCTTTACTGGCTGTGTGACCTTGATCGTGTCTCCTAATCTTTGTGATCCTTTTTTTTTTTCCTCTCTCTCTCTCAGAACATTGTCAAATATCAAATGAAGGCATGTTTGTGGAGACCTTTCTACAAACTTTTAGAAGGTGCATCTACTTTTTTTGCCTTCTTGTCTGAAGAAGATGTGATGACTGGAACACCAATAACTATCTTATAACCATGAGGCAAAACCATGCTTAAAACTTGCTTGTTAATGTTATAATGGTTTATATCTTCCCACCTTCATATAATCCCTAGAGAGCACCCGCGAACAACAGACCAGGAAATTTCATTGATTCAGCTTCTCAGATATTTCTAACACATCTCAAGCCTTCCACTTAGTCTCCCTCTTAGATTATTAGCTCTAAACATCTCCTGAGCTCGTCAGTGATGGCATCCTCCTACTTGATCTACTCCATCCTTTAGTTCTTTAGATCAGATGTCCCTGGGACCACCTCTACCTTGAGTATTCCACCTGGGTCTTATTTTGGGACATATAAAGATTGATGCCATACGTTCTGACCTTCATACTATCCGGTTTAACCATCAAGGTCATAGCACTGAGTGCCCCTGGCCTCTTCTTCCCCCACTAGGACATCACCCCACTGCAAGTGGTCCTGCCTAACACTGCCCTGCATCTTAAGGCGCTGCTGGACTTTGAGGATAAGGATGGATACAAGATAGTAGCAGGAGACGAATGGCTATTTGAGGGACCAGGTGAGTTAACTCTCCATTGGGAGAGATCAGGGTCTTTGGTTGGGGTCAGGGTCTTTGCCTTCCCACCATCGCCCTGACCTCTTCCTATCCTCAGCTTCTGTTCCATCTCCCCTTTCCCAGGCACGTACATCCCCCGGAAGGAGGTGGAGGTTGTGGAGATCATTCAGGCTACTGTCATCAGACAGAATCAGGCACTGAGGCTGAGGGCCCGCAAGGAGTGCTTGGACCGGGATGGCAAGGAGAGGGTGACAGGTGGGGACCCCAAGGGACACTGATGGTGGGTGGGCAGGAGGGACTTTGCTTGCAGGGGAAGCAGGGAAAGCCACTTGTAGCCAGAGGGCAGTGCTTCCCTGGTTTCTCTTTTCTTTTTAAGGGCTAGGCTACAGCTCAGTGGATAGAGTGCTTGCCTTGTGTAGCTCAATGCCCTGGGTTTGATTCCCAGCACCAGAAAAAACACACCTTTTTTTTAGTAGAGCATCACAGCTATGCATAGTAACTGAGTTCATTTTTTTTTTAATGAGAGAGAAAAGAGAATTTTTAAAATATTTTCAGTTTTCAGTGGACACAACGTCTTTATTTTTTATTTTTATGTGGTACTGAGGATTGAACCCAGTGCCACGCGCATGCCAGGCGAGCACATTACCACTTGAGCCACATCCCCAGCGCTCGGTATTTCTTGAGAACTGTGGAGGGCTGTCTAGTGCTGGCTCTGCCCCAGCCCTGATCTGTGATCATAAGCACATGGACGTGGCCTTTCCCTCTCCCACCCTTCACCTTGAGCTGTGGGCAGTGGCCAGGTCTTATCTAATTCTGGATCAACAATGCAGAGGTTCAAATACAGTGAACAAATGCAGCCAAGTGCATTATGGGATGTGGATCAAAATGCTTTACAAATTGTGGCTTATTGAGTCCACCAACAATCTTGAGATGTCACTTTTCCGTATTCCATATGGCAAGGCTGAGGCACAGAGGTCCGGTGACTTGCCCAGGATATGTGGCCAGATGGGGCAAGGCTGAGGCTTGGGCGTCCTTGCTGCTCCAGGAAACAAAAGGATACCCACAACTCGACTAGAGGCACCAGGGTACCAGGGATTGAACTCAGGGTTACTCAACCACTGAGCCACACCCCCAGCCATATTTTGTATTTTATTTAGAGACAGGGTCTCACTGAGTTGCTTAGTGTCTTGCTTTTGCTGAGGCTGGCTTTGAACTCCCGATCCTCCTATTTTAGCCTCTTGAGCTGCTGGGATTACAGGCGTGCACCTCCGTGCCTGGCTAATAGAGGCACTTTTCCTGCCCATTTTAGGGGAGGGAAAAACTTAGTCTTTGGGGCATAGAGAAGGAATAGCAGAATGTTCTAGAAGTTTTTTTTTTTTTTTCCTTTAATTCTGGGGAGAAAGGAATGAGTCCAAGGGCTCCTGTCAGTCCTTTGAACCTGGGGGCAGTGACTTCTCTTCACCTTTGAAGTCCTGTTGTCCTGTTATCTAAGCTGTGGAAAAGACATCTGGGGGAAGCTGCCTAACTTCTGACCTTGACCTCCTGCCCTTGACCAGGAGAAGAATGGCTGGTCCGCTCTGTGGGTGCATATCTCCCAGCAGTGTTCGAGGAGGTTCTGGATTTGGTGGATGCTGTAATCCTTACGGAAAAGGTTTGTGGCCTGGGGATGAGGAAAGGGACCCTGGGCTAGGGAATGCTGAAAAGTGGCAAAGAATAGCAGCAGACAATGTGAGAGTGAAAGGAAGACATTACTAGGGTCACTGTAAAAACCCCAGAGGTCACATCAACTGAGGACTATCTTGGGCTATGTGGAAGGGTTAAAAAGTCACTCAGACCTGGGAGCAGAGTTAGTGGCCAGTGGTGTTCCCAGAATCCCCCAAGGAAGTGGTAGGAGGAAGTTGGAGGGAGACTTACTGAACACCCAGCGTCTCGTTCCGCAGACAGCCCTGCACCTCCGGGCTCGGCAGAACTTCCAGGACTTGCGTGGAGTGACCCGCCGCACTGGGGAGGAGTGGCTGGTGACAGTCCAGGACACGGCAGCTCACGTGCCCGATGTCCATGAGGAAGTACTAGGAGTCGTGCCCATCACCACACTGGGCCCCCAAAACTACTGTGTGGTCCTTGACCCCGTGGGACCAGATGGCAAGAACCAGCTGGGACAAAAGCGGGTCATCAAGGTGAGTTCCTCCTTTTCCCCAGAGCCTGTCCTGTGAGGGTAAATGCTCTTGAGTACAGGAGGCCTCTGACTTCCACTCACTCCACATTCTAGAAACACCCTTGGTGCCTTTGCACACTTAGTTCTGTGTGCCTAGGACCCTTCCCATTTGAAACCCGGGCAGCCTCCAGGGAACCTCAGGGACATGCTTCCTGCTCCTCACCCCATGCCGGAAGACCCTGAAACCCTGTCTCTTCTGTGTTCTGGAACCTTGGTCGTATTGTGTAAAACAAATCCCACAGTTGACCCTTCTCCCCTGCTCCATGAACTTTATGTGGGGACTCCAGGGACCACACACTTCCTCTAAAGGGCTGCACAGCAGGTAGTTTCTGCCTATAGCACAGGGTTGCTGTTGAAGGCCAATTGTTCAGCTGTTGTAAATGCGGCCCAGACAACGCATAAACAGAGGAGGCCGCCATGTTCCCAGAATATTGCATTATTTTATTCATTTTTATTTTTATTTATCTATTATTTTGGTATTGGGGATTGAACTCAGGGGCGCTCTACCCCTGAACTATTATCTCCAGCCCTTTTTAGTTGTTATTTTGAGACAAGATCTTGCTTAAATGGCCCCAGGCTAGCCTGAAACTTGTGATCCTCCTGCGTCAGCCTCCTGAATTGCTGAGATTACAGGCATGCACCACCATAACCAGCTTTGTAACTCTTGTGAATAGGTTAACTCTAAACAGTTTAACTTGTAGCTGGTTAAGGTCTTGGTACATGCTTATAATCCCAGCAGTTCTGGAGGCCGAAACAGAAGAACTCCAAGTTTGAGGTCAGCCTCAGCAACTTAGCAAGACCTTGTCTTAAAATTTAAAAAAAAATAGATATATAAAAAGGGGGCTGGAGTTGTGGCTTAGTGGTAGAGTGCTCGCTTCGCACAAGTGCAGCACTGGGTTTGATCCTCAGCACCACATAAACAAGTAAGTAAGAAGGGCTGGGCATGTGGCTCAGTGATGAAGCACCCCAGGGTGCAATCCCCGCTATCAAAAAAAAGTTTAACTTGTAATGATCCAGGTGTGACAGTTCACAGAGTCTTTCAGAGACATGTTTGACTAAGTGAGATTTTATAGCCCTTGGAGCCTCACAGTCCAGATAGTGCACCACAGAATTATAATGTGGGGGTGGGGCATGCTTTGGGGCTCCTGTACTCAGCACAAGCCCAGGATAGCACAGGGCTGGGGAGGTGCCACTGGAGGCACCTGTAGCCCTGGGTGGCAACTGCTCCTAACCCTCTCCTCACCTGTCTCCCCACCAGGGAGAGAAGTCTTTTTTCCTGCAGCCAGGGGAGAGGCTGGAGCGAGGCATTCAAGATGTGTATGTGCTGTCAGAGCAGCAGGGGCTGCTGCTGAGGGCTCTGCAGTCCCTGGAGGAGGGGGAGGAGGAGGAGAAGGTCTCCCACCAGGCGGGGGACCGCTGGCTCATCCGAGGGCCCCTGGAGTATGTGCCATCTGCCAAGGTGGAGGTGGTGGAGGAGCGGCAGGCCATCCCTCTGGACGAGAATGAGGGCATCTATGTGCAGGACGTCAAGACTGGAAGGGTAACTGCTGAGGGATGGGCGGCTGTCACTGCTATGTGATCATGGTGGGGACTTCCTCTGAGCAAGCATCTGATGCTGCTGGAGAGAGGCACATGGTGGACGTGGGGGAGGGGACGCCAGTAATATTTATAATAGCATCTGCGTGGGCTGCTGGTGGACTCGAGGGCATTCCATGGAATATTTGCTATTTCTTTGTCTAAAATATCTTACTTCAAAACTGCAACTGAAGCCGGGCATGGTGGTACACGCCGGTAATCCCAGCAACTTGGGAGGCCGAGGCAGGAGAATCACAAGTTTGAGGGCAGCCTCAGTAACTTGGCAAGACTCTAAGCAACTTAGTGAGACCCTGTCTCAAAAATTAAAAAGGGCTGGAGATGTGCCTCAGGGGTAAAGAGCCCCCTGGGTTCAATCCCTGGTAGAAAAAAACAAAAAAAACCCTAAAACCTCAAACTGCAGGAATGAGCCTGGTACTGGGATGGGGATTCTGCCCCACTGCAAATCTGGTCCTAGCTTGAACACATGACTGGAGTGTGACCTGGGAGCAATATTACCCTTCTCCCCCATGCCCATATGCTAGTGAAATATTTCCTTTTTCCTGCTTCACCTAACATTTCAACCTTGGTTTGACTGAGAACCACATCTCCAACCTCTTTCTCTAAGAATCCAAACCAGAAATACATTTTAGAATCTGTATTCTAAGGTACTTCCTAGCATTGCATCTCTCTCTGTGATGCCCTCTGAGCATCCCAGGAATAATAACATTAAGCACTTGCTGTATGCCAAGTGTTGTTGTTGGAATTGGACACATGAAGCAGTTAGGTCTTTGACCCAACAAGGTGGCCACTGTCATGTCCATTTTATAGATGAAGAACCCAAAGCAAAGGCTCGAGTAGCTTGCCCAGATGAAGCTTTGCTGCATGGACCATACTGACCCGCTGTGTTGCTCCAGAGTGGATCAACTCTGCTCAGGATGGCGGGGGGTGTCCCTCTAACCCTCACTGGTAACACCTCTGCTTGTCCCCACCTCTCAAGGTACGTGCTGTGATCGGAAGCACCTACATGCTGAC